GTACTCTGAGCCATAGAAAACCTTCTATGACAAAGGACCCAAAAATGTCTTGTATGCCACAGTTATGAATATCTATTTTGACTATACTCTTTAACAAATCTCTTTCTCTTTCAATTTTTGCAAAATGTAACAAAATAAGTAAACTTTAAGAAGCACATTTTTTGCAAAGCTGTATCTGCTGAATCGACAGTGTCACAAGAATTTTCGAGTATTAATAATGTACTCAGTCAAGTGAAGTGGAGTGAATTTTCACCAAATACACGAGTTGAAATTTTCACCGAAAAAGTGTGGCAGTTCAAGTTGTTACATTTCATAAAAACAAGACTACAAAAAGATCGGGAAATGAAATAAGTGCAAAGGAAATATAAATACCTGAGAAGTAGGACGATTCCATGGAGAGAGTGATGTATTAAACTTAAGAATCTGGGAAGAAGAACGAAGAACGAATGTAACTCCACCATGTTGCCAATAATAGTCTCCAGGTATGGAATCGTATGGAATCTTGAAGTTCCTAGCCAAAAAGTTTACACTCTGCCTACCTACCTACCTACCTACCTACATGACTCAAACTGACTATCTCAAAGACTTTGTGGATTAATGCCAGGTGGTTTTGATTTGATTATCTCTCCTAATAGTCTTGCAATTAATAGTGTTCTCTGAGCTAGTTGGTTCAGTTGCGGAGCTTTCGTCGTACTTCTGGACAACATCCCCTTCAGCGCAATATTTAGCATAAAGTGAAATGATTTAAATTTCTTCATGAGTGATAGAATTGCGTCTCCTGGTAACTATCTTTACATATGACCATTTTCTATTGACTTGGATTTTAAACTTTCTGGTCACCTGATTTACTTTTTATTAGTTGGTATATTTCGTCTATATTAACGTGTTTATTAATTGTATTTTCATTTGAGTACCACATGTAAAGATGGTTACCAGGAGACGCAATTATGTTACTCATGAATAAATTTAAATCATTTCACTTTATGCTAAATAATGCGTTGAAGATATTGTCCAGCAGGTGGACGACGAAAGCTCCGCAACTAAACCAACCAGCTCAGAGAACACCGTTAATTGCAAATCATCCACTTGACCTACAAATCTTCTCTATTACTTTAGTAGTCTATTCAATCTCATGTCAGCAGCTAACACTACTCAACATGGCATGCGTGTAACACATCTGTTAGTCGTCTTAATCGATACCTGCTATCAATCGGACTCACCAATATGAGATAAAACGATCTGGAGTATTAACATCAAGTTGCTACTGGCTTGAATATGTGACACCAGTTAAACCAAAACTGATTAGTTTAGAAAGAATCTAACAGTAGCTAGACAAATATAAATTTATAAAACACAAAATAATTGAGCAAAGAATATCCTTTTCGAGAATTTCCTCTTCCGGCTCTACAATTATATATATGTTTATATACACAGAATATTCTAGATTAGTAGTTAATAACAATATTAGCGTTTTTTAAATAATATCGATTTGTAAAGTAAGATCGCAATGCAATTACAGTTCATTAAAGATGCTTAAATAATAATAATAATGATAATAAAGATACAATAGCGAATAGAATATCAACTGAAATCAGGGAAATTCCACAAAAATTGAGGATTATTCAAACCTGGATGGCCAAGTTAATGATAATGACTGAACTAACTTCTTTTGGATGCATAAATTAGGCTTGTTAATATGGATCCCAACAGCTTCAGCAATATTTAGTAGTCAAACTCTTAAGGCAAAATTGAGATTCGTAGGTATGCGGTAAATGACTCTGAAAACCTGTTTAACATCAATCTTGTGTTCTGTATCCACAAGATGAGATAGAATAGCTCTGCGAATAGATTTTGTTTTCTCTTTTACTTAACCAACTACGCAGGGTGATGTTTGGAAATCCGTCAAGAAACACGCCTAATTGTACGGTCTATGTAACTGGCTCCACAGGAGCAGTTAAATTGGTATGAAAGAGGTGAAAGAAAATAGGCAGTTTATCTTTTACTCCCGAATGCAAAAGAGGAGTGGTTGTAATAGGATAGATACTCTCTTGAAAATACTGTGAGATCAGTCGGAGGTTTAGTCATTTTGTTGTCTTCATACAAAATTTTCAAACCTATTGACGTGTTTCTGGTTTAATTTTTGGTTTTGATTCTACTATTTTTATGCCTTTTCTTTCTTTAAAAATTGGATCGATTCAAATCATAGCGTGTTCTACTCTACTCTATCACGCCCACCTACCTACCTACCTGTCCTTACTACATGCCCACAAGAGATTATTGTATACAAGATAACTTTTTCGTGTATGATGGTTATGTCACTTGAGCCAAATAGAATAATTGTGAAGGTGTCATTTTCCTGCTAGAAATTACCTTCAGTGCTTTTCAAAATTCTCCATGAATTATGTAGCTATGTCTAGTGATAATTGGTTTTCATCAAAAGTTTTTTTATATAATCCTAACCTTACGCTTATATTGATGCTGACCTCTTCGTTATTTTTTTCGCCTTGTGACTACTTGATGTTTATTGATTAGTAATTCTGATCTATATGTGCACGTCTCATATGGTACAAATCTGAGTACCAGACTTCAAGCAGTCCTCTCTCTCTGGTAATTTCAACATTTCCTCTGTTTATTTAATACCTTCACCTTTTTCGAGACAAATAGATAACCGTACTTGTCTACATGCGCATTGTTGTTATGTGTGTTTTGAATATAAGTTCACATTCTTGGGGACACTACTTGCAGTGGAAACGTCCACTTGGGCTAGGAAAAAGCGTATTTTTTTCCATTTCATATTCAAGGATGTATATTATTATTGTATCATTGTTCCATTGGGTTCCTAGTGGAACATAGGGCTTCAACTGCACATCTCCACTTGCTTCTCTCTTCTCTTTTCACCTCCATCCATGTTAATCCATACTGTTTCAACTCCTCTTCACACGATCTCCTCCATGTCACCCTTGCACTGACGTCCCACTCTCCGCTTCCCTTTCGGTTTCCACTCGAGCACTTGCCTGACTGACGCGCGATGTTACCCAGCGGCCTCCTCAGTGGGTGTCCAATCCATCCATCTCCACTTTCTCCTGCATATTTGTTGGGCGATTGGTTCTTGTTTTGTTTCTTCCCATAGTCTCTTGTTGGTTCTTGTTCTTTCCGGCGGCCATCTGATCTTGAGTATAGAGCCACCGAAGACAGTTGTTGTTGATAAAGGTGTGCAACAGGCTGTTGGAAATATTCTTTGTGACGCGACCGCCAAGTTTCTGATGCGTTCGTATAGAAGAACTGACTGACTTGACGTTTGTATTGAAAATCTGAATCATTTTGTTGTTGATGCTGAGTTGAGTGACACCGGAAGATTTCCAGATTGGTTTGAGGTTGATTAATGTGTTTCTCGCCTTCCCGATTCTCGATTTGACATCCTCGTCGGTTCCTGGTGTAGTTGAGACAATGCTCCCTCCCTAGATAAGTGAATGAAGTAACCTCTTTCAAATCCCTCCCGTTGATGGTGATTGGCGTTGGATTTTGGTGCTGTTGTTGTTGTTGGTTGGTTATTTTCATAACCTCCATCTTGTCTATGTTCACCTGGAGTCCTGTCTCGCTGAGTTTTCCGTTGTGGATTACTTGACATGTGCCGTTGTCGTACATCTGTTGAGTAAGGTTGATGAATATTTGGGGTACGCTGTAGTACTCGAGTAGTTTGCAAATTATGTATGTATGTGTGTATGTATTATTACTATTCTTCTCCTAGGTTCCGAGTAGGAAACAGGCCGTCAGTAGCCCATCTCCATTTCACTTCATCTCTTACAATCTTAATTCCCTAGACGACTGATCATAAGCTTCCATTTCTTCTTCACACGATTTCCTTCATGTCACACATGAATCCACACAAAACTCAGGTTCCACTCGAGAGCCGAGCGTGTGCTGTGTCACCCATCAATCAGTCGCTTCAGCCCACATCCAATCCATGCAACTCCGTTTCCTTCAGCATATTTGTTTGACGATATGTCCTTGATTGGTTCCATATTACTTCTCCTTTCTGGCTACTTAATATATAGTGATCAAGCCAACGAAGGCGGCAACTGTTAATGAAAGTCTGCTTTTCACGACCTCGTGCCCGTCAATTCTCTGAGCTCTCTATAGAATCATTGACGTGAAATTGTTTTGTTTTCCTTCACGTTCCCCAGTGGAACATAGGGCTTCAAGCTAGTGGCTTGAAGTTTCTGTAGCTGTGGTGTTTATTTTACAGGATGGGGTTGCTAGCCTCATGCCCAACCTTTCCTCTTCATCAGCTTTTAATTCTGGCTTAGCGAGGTAAAGGAGTGCGTCTGTGGCTGGGGATCGAACCCCGGGCCATGTGCATGGTCGGCGAGCGTCATAACCGCTACACCACCGACGCACGTATTGACCTGAAATTAGTGTTTTGAAAATTCAAAATTAACCTTAACAGCATTGTCTAGTATGAAATTAAAAGAAAGAGAGAGAGCTTCGCAATGAAAACTACTCAGCTCTCATACTAAAGTGTGTGTGTAACCAACCACACACATTACAAACATCCACCTGAGCTACAAATATATCCTCCATTAATTTAAACACCATGGGCTTCTCAATCAGTCAATCAATTAAGTCCATGTGAATTGTTGTACTTTTTAAAGTTCTTCATATGATCAACATATATTAGTGTGTGTGTGTGTGTGTGTGTGGGTCCCCATCTGTCTAAGTGAAGTGATTGTATTCATCAATAAACTGAAACAGCATATATAAGTTAATGTTTTGACATCTGATGTGGTTATTGTCACAGTGTTTTTCTGTCGTTGTTCCTGTCGTTGATGTATTTATCTGTTTGTTATATTACACTTTTTCTTTGCCATCATTAATACGTCATACATACGTCATACGTTTCAATTGTTATTTTGTTTAGAAAAAAGAAAAAAGGAGCAAAACAAGATTGCGACACATATCTTATGTTTTTTTTATTTTTGATAATTTCTTTTCTTTTCCAGACTATTCAGCCTCTGTTGTAGAACAACGTCATCGACTGCGTCGTCATAGCTTACCGTCAGATTGCCTATTACTACTACCACCACCACCACCACCAATTGGTGGAAATGAGGGTCAAGTTGGTGAAAATAGTAACAAAGTATGTACAACATTTTTCATTATTGTATTGTCTCTCACGTGTGTTATCTGTTGTCGTTAGTATTATTATTATTATCGTCATTATTCCCTTAGGTTCTGAGTGGAACGAACGTAAGGCTTCGTGTCTCTCTGTGTATGCGTGCGTGTGTGTGTGTGTGCGAGCGCGCCATCTAACTTTCCATTTATTTACGTCGCGCTTCTTCTATCACATAATTTCAGGACAGAAGTAAGACAAGACTGCCTACTACCGCCAATGATTTTCCTGATTGCTTTAGATGGGATAATGCGACAAACAGCGGGTAATGAGGAAACAGGCATAAAATGGACTCACACAAAAAACTTGGAGGATCTGGACTTCGCCGACGATGCTATATGTCTGATTTCCCACAATCACTGGAAGATATGCAAGCGAAAAGCAACAGGCAGAAGAAGCATCAAAGGTAGGACAACACTTCAGGTGAACATAGAGAAAAACAGAGGTGATGAAGATTCCTGGCCAACACTACCAACAGTAACAAAAACAACAACAACAGACAACAATCAGCGTAAATGGAAGGAACCTGAAAGAAACAACCTCTTTTACCTACCTACCTATCTGGGAAGCATCGTTTCAACTACAGGCGGATGGAACTGACGAGGATATCAAAGCAAGGATCATCGGAAAAGCAAGACAAGCTTTCACTACTCTCAAGTCTGTGTGGAGGTCAACAGTCAGCACTCAGCATCAAAACGAAGATAAGATCCGGATTTTCAACTCCAATGTGAGTGAAGTCAGTCAGTGCCACTTACTATACGGATGGATCAGAGACTTGGCCAGCGAGCGCGTCATAAAGAGCATCTCAAACAAACTACAGACCTTCATTAACAGCTAGATGGTTGTCTTCGCTCAATACTACTCAAGATCAGATGGCCGGCCGGCCAGAAAAGATCAACAGAGAGGGAGGGATCTCTGGCAATGAGCGAACCAACCGACACAGCAGGAACAAACCGATTGTGAAACAAATAGGCAGGAAGAAATGGAGCTAAGTGGATTGGCTGGTCATACTCTGAGGAAACAAACCATCAAGTGAGACACATCACTAGACAAGCCATTGGTCGAGTGGAACCCGGCCGAAAGGGAAGCGGCGGCGAGTTGGTCGTCAGTGCAAGGGTGGGGTGACTTGGAGGAGGTCATGTGAAGAGGAGATGAAAACGTGTGGGCAGGCTTGGAGCCAGGTAAAGACTCTGGCAGAGAACCGAACGGAATGGAGACGCACGGCTGAAGCCCTATGTTCCTCTAGGAATTAAAGGAAATAATAATAATAATAATTAAAGACTCTACTATCCACCAATTACTTTTGGGTTCAAATCTCGCTATCGGAAATTTGTGTGGGTCATATATAACCTGGTGCATACGATATATCTTCCGCATTGACTGACTGAATTCTAACAGTTCATATTATTTAAAAAAACAAAGTTGCTATATATTATGGGCAGCACAAGTGACAGGAATTGTGATGAAGGAATGAGACATGCCAGACATCCAGAAGTCAATATATATCTTTGTAGTCTGTATTATAGTGAGTGTGCAATTATAATCTTCTATGGAATTGATAAGAATCTGAATCTGAAACCAAAGCAGCCCAAGTTACCAACAGTTCCAGAAAAGGCTTTATTCTTACAGATGCAGTTCCTAGGAGACAACACCAGTGAGATACTAACACATCGCCTCAGAAATGAGGCGGTAAAAAGAGCATTCCCTGCTGCTGAATTACGCTGTATCTTTAAAACCACTCCTCTTCTGTGTTCGGGAATAAAAGGCAAACTGCCTAATTTCGCCTCTTCCATGTGTATCTACCAATTTAACTGCTCCTGTGGAGTGAGCCAGTTACATAGGCCATACAATTAGGCGTGTTTCGCATCGAATTTCCGAACATCACCCTGTGTGGTTGGTTAAGCAAAGGACAAACTAAATCTATTCGCAGCGCTATTCTGTCTCATCTTGTGGAGACAGAACACAAGACTGACGTTAATCATCCTTTCAGGGTCATTTACCGCATACCTACGAATCTCAATTTTGCTTTAAGAGTTCGACTTCTAAATATTGCTGAGGCTGTGGGGATTCATATTAATAAGCCTAATTTATGCACCCAAAAGAAGTTAGTTCAGTCATTATCATTACCTTGGCCATCTAGGTTTGAATAATCCCGAATTTTTGTGGAATTTCCCTAATTTTAGTTGATATTCTAATTGTTATTATATCTTTATTGTTATTATAATTTAGGCATCTTTAATGAACTGTAATTGCATTGATCATACTTTACAAATCGATATTAGTTGATTAAAAATGCCCATTAAAATTTTCAAAAGAATATTCAGGGAACAATGAGTACTCTTTTCGATAAATTCATCATCAGGTTCTACAATTATATGTACATTATAATGAATGAATGAATTAGTCTTATGAACGACATTGATGTTTAAATAACATCGAATCAATAATATTGATAGATTACTAATATTGTTATTGACTACTATTCTAGAACATTTTATGTATATAAACATATACGTATATAATTGTAAAGCCAGAAGAGGAAATTATCGAAAAGGATATTCTTTGTTCGATTATTTTGTGTTCTATGTAATTGTTGTTTCATGGTTCGGGTGTGTGTGTGTGTGGGATGAGCTATTGACCTGCAGCCCAAATCGAAGTAAGTGGTTGTGTTAGGGTGCCCCCATGGTTTACCGGTGACCAAAACAGGTACAGGTGTGCATACGCCCTTCCCGTTCTTTTTGTATTCTGGAACCTGTGTACACTATGGTTTTGAAATCAGAGTTCTGCAGCTCTCTTTTTGGTAGATCACAATGTCCACCAGTCCTGCCTGGTGTCAGCACCAGATGTTTAAATTCGCTCTTTAACTTTTTATGAGGGATATTCCTACCACATGATGATGGCAGTGAATAAGACTTGTCTGGCTGAGAATAAGAACGCCTGGCCGCATGTGAGGACATTGCAAGAGGAAGAACGAAGTCTATCCACCATTGTCCGTACTAGTTCGTTTATTTGGGCGGATTGTAGTGTCCAGTCCAGCTAGTCTGTCACATTAAATACTTGACCTTGAAGCTGAACGATTTGACGAAGGGTTTTTATAGTTTAGTAGGTCATATTCTGTGTCGACTGCAAATGTGTTGTCCAATTCTGTGTGTGCTGATGGAATACTGTCTACTGAGATGAATAATTACCTTACTGGTTAACTCATCGTCACTCACGCTGACTTTTGAGTGGTGACACACACGCATTGGGTTCAAATCCTGCTCCACTAACTCCAGCTTCAATCACTGATAGTGTCACCAGCCCTTGGCTAGTGAGCGTTTCTCTTATACCCCAGGCACTTAAAAGATACATTTCGGGCAAACATTAACTAACTAAGAATGGGCGTTTTTCTGAATTTTTCTTTATGCACTTGTTGTCTTCCCTACAGTTTCATGTTGTATTCTCAACTCTTGTCAGCAAGCCTACTTTGACTCACAGAAACAGTTTTTCGAAAAAAACACCATAGGTTAACAAAAATACCCTTTCTTCATTGAATTTGCAACCCGTCCCACATTCTGGCGTCAATGAGAAAAAAAAATCAGACTAATAACCAAATTAGTGTCACTTATTATTAGTCAAATAATTCATTCAACGTATATTAAAAATGTGATCTTGTAAAAAACAAATAATTACCACGTTTTAATTGCCCTTTGTAATCTTCTTGTAAAAACTGGTTAGTATGGTTAGTTGTCTGCATTTTCAACATTACGGATCAAAGAACAACTGGGGTGTGATCAGTTTCATGTTATACGAATCAGGATACAGATGTTTATTTTGAATCTTTGAGTTCAACACCGTTTTTGTTATTTACTCTCTATTATCCGGATCCCATTATTCCAGGCTGAAGTACGTGGAAAGAGTCTCGAACCCAGGGACCCATCGGTTGTAAGTCAAGAGCTATAACCAGTGGATCATATCTCTCCTCAAGTATTGAAGATTGTAGTTAAGGGAAACAGAAATGAGTAGTATAGTATGAGGAGATAGCATCATAATCATTAAAAATTAACCCGATAATAATAGTAATAAGGCTTTATTTTAGACAATATGTGAACAGATAGTACAGAAATTTTCAGCCTTCCTAAATATTTTATCTTCGTAGAGCATTTACAGGTATGTCATGTGACACACAGCATTGTTACATATGAGGAGAGAGAAACAATTTCTGTATATATATTTTTCTTCATTCCCTTCAAGAAGTGTGTGCAACGTTTCGTCGAAAGCTAATTAAATATGCGCGCGAATTAATGTAGTGATCGTTTGGATATAAATTGCATGATTAAAACAATCAGAAATGCAAACCGAGTTTAGGCATTTTGATGGATGGAAACTCTGCTAGCCTAGCCCTGTGATGATGTAACCAGGCTGCCAGTTTTTTCCTCGGTTCTCACGTTTCTCAAGTACATTAGAAAGGTTTTGATAAGTGGTTTAACTAACAACAAAACACACCAAATAACCGTCAATGTATAGGGGAAAAAGTGAGATTACGTAATAATATGCGAAGGGGGAAGCATATTTCGAAGTGATATAAGGTCAACCAAGTGTTCCATCTCGAATCACACTTCTGTATACTTTTTTGTTTACTTATTACACTATCTAACGTCGGTGGCACAGCGGTAGAATACTCACCACCAACCACGCAGGTGGTTCGGGGTTCGGTCGTCGTCGGCCGACGCATTCCTAAGCGTCGTAAAAATAAACATACGAATGCTACTGAAACTTCAAGCCTCTAGCTTGGAGTCCTATGTTCCACTGGGAACTATACAGGAATAAAATAAAATATTACACTATCCAATGTATAAATATATATGCATATATATATATATATATACTATAAATGTGTATATACTCTGCAAGAACTGGCGAGGAATCATGCTCCCGTCGACGCCAAGTAGAATTCTGAGTCGCATCATCCTGGAGAGGATAAGGGACGCACTGGATACAGAACTCCGACCAGAACAAGCTGGATTCAAGAAAGGCAAATCAGGTTCTGACCAAATTGCAACTCTACGCATCATCATCGAACAAAGCATGGAAATGGAATGGCAATCAAACCTCGACCTCAACTTCCTTTATAGACTTTGAGAAGGCCTTCGACAGCGCAGCGTTGACCGCGAAGTAATCTGGAAACTACTCGACTACTACGGCGTACCTCAAATATTCATCAACCTCATTCAACAGCTGTACGACAACGGCACATGTCAAGTGATCCACAACGGAAAACTCAGCGAAGCGTTTGGAGTAAACACAGGAGTCAGACAAGGGTGCTTATTGTTATCACCAATGATATTCCTAATTGTGGTGGACTGGATTATGCATCAGACAGTGGGAAACGAGAAGACACGGATATCCTGAACCGACCGACGTGAACAAACTAGAAGACCTGGATTTCGCGTGTGGATGATTTATGTTTGATGTCACACAAAATCGAAGACTTACAAGCGAAAACCCACCGACAAACTGGTCGAAGAAGCAGCCAGAGAAGACAGGACTCCAGGTAAACATAGATAAGACGGAGGTTATGAAAATAACCAACCAACAACTACAACAGCAACATCCAGCGCCAATCACCATCAACGAGAGGGATTTGAAAGAGGTTACTTCATTCACTTATCTATTGAGGGAGCATTGTCTCGGCTACAGGAGGAACGGACGAGGATGTCAAATCGAGAATCGGGAAGGCGAGAAACACATTCATCAACCTCAAACCAATCTGGAAATCTTCCGCTGTCACTCAACTCACCATCAACAGCAAAATGATTCGGATATTCAATACAAACGTCAAGTCAGTCAGTCAGTTCTTCTATACGGATGGATCAGAAACTTGGCGGGTCACAAAGAATATTTTCAACAGCCTGTTGCACACCTTTATCAACAACAACTGTCTTCGCTGGCTCTATACTGAAGATCAGATGGCCGCCGGAAAGAACAAGAACCAACAAGGAACTATGGGAAGAAACAAACAAAAGAACCAATCGCCCAACAAATATGCAGGAGAAAGAAGTGGAGATGGATGGATGGACACTCGCTGAGGAGGAGGCCTCTGGGTGGGTGACATCGAGCGTCAATCAGGCCAGTGATCGAGTGGAACCCGAAAGGGAAGCGGCGAGTTGGTCGTCAGTGCAAGGGTGACATGGAGGAGATCGTGTGAAGAAGAGTTGAAACAGTATGGACTAACATGGATGCAAGTGAGAAGTACAGCAGAAGAGAGAAGCAAGTGGAGACGTGCAGTTGAAGCCCTGTGTTCCACTAGGAACCCAAGGGAACAATAATAATAATTTATGCTAATAGGGATATATTCAAATATAAATCACTTTGCTCATGCTATTGTATCATTTGCGCAACAGAAATATTTTTTTTCATTTTTCTTTATTCCTTTTTTCTCCCTATTATAGATACAATCTACTGAAAATCAAATTCCCCTTGTTATAGACTCATCGAAAACGGATGCTCTAGATGTAGCCTCTATAACAACAGGTGCACAGACTGATTCATCACCTATGGATAATAGACCACCAGATGAATCTATTGAATTATCATCATCCGGTCAAAGAAATCCTCCTCCATTCAACAGCAGCAGCAATGACAAAGTTGCCAACACTAGGAGTAATAGCAGTAGTCGTCGTAATTTTGATGATGGATTTGTGATGAACGCACAAAACTGTCGTGATGGTAATGATGATAATACTAGTAATAATATTTATCCTAAAACAGCACGTTCCCTCTCTTGTCGAGAATATAGTAGCAACAGTAGTAGTGGTTGTGGTGGTGGTGGTGGAGCTGGAGAGGAGGAGAAGGCTGGTGATGATGATGTCGAGAATAACAACACTGTCGACTTCCCCGACTCGAATTATCTGAAAGAAGTTCACCTTTGGTTAAATAATCCAGATCGTTCTGTTGTAATTCCTAGTGGTGATCGCCACTCCTACATCCCTTCATCGAATACACTGCCAACTAAGTCATCCTCGATAAGTTTATGCGCATTATCTAATCACACGTCTATGTCATCGGTTCTATCATCATCGAATAGTCAGTCAACGTCTAAATTGCATATAGCTCAAGAGAGTGGGAATTGTAAACAACCGAGGGAAGAGGAGAAGGAGCAGCAACAGCACCAACCGCCACCACCACCACAACAACAAAAACAGCCATCCCAGCAACAACAACAGCAAAAGAGGAAGAGAAGGAAAAAAGCGAATTGTTCAAATCAAGTACTGACAAATAGTAGTGGAGGTGTTGCTGGTGTCAGTGGCGGTGACATTGTTGCTGGCAGCGGTGGTGGTGGTGGCACCAGCAACAGTAATAATCGTCTTGACTCGTCAGATGATTGTCAGTCGTCTCTTGGTGAATCTTGTACAAGTAAGTGATGCATAGATTATATAAATACGGCATGTTACACAACGGTCATCATTGTGTTCTATGTTTATATGTGACTAATCAGTTGAGTTTACTTGTCAGTTGAGTGAGTGAGTGAGTGGTCGAGATGATGGGGAGGTGTGTTATTTCCGTCGAAGCTCTCTTTTATATGAATGAATCATTTTGTTAATCGTTTCGCTTTATTATTATTATTATCATTGTTCCTTTTAATTCCTAGAGGAACATAGGGCTTCAGCCGTGCGTCTCCATTGCCTTCGGTTCTCTGCTAGAGTCTTCACCTGGCTACAAGTCTGCCCACACGCCTTCATCTACTCTTCACATGACCTCCTCAAGTCACCCTCACCCTTGCACTGACGACCAACTCGCCGCCGCTTCCCTTTCGGCCGTGTTCCACTCGAGCAATGGCTTGTCTAGTGATGTCACTTGATGGTTTCCTGAGAGTATGGTCAGCCAATCCATCTCCATTTCTTCCTGTCTATTTGTTTCACAATCGGTTGGTTCCTGCTGTGTTGGTTGGTTCGCTCATTGACAGAGATCCCTGTCTGTTGCTGATCTTTTCTGGCCGGCCGGCCATCTGATCTTGATTGGTATTGAGCGAAGACAGCTATCTGTTAATGAAGGTGTGTAGTTTGTTTGAGATGTTCTTTATGACGCGGTCGCTGGCCAAGTCTCTGATCCATCCGTATAGTGAGTAGCACTGATTGACTTGACATTGGAGTTGAAAATCCGGATCTTATTTGCATTTTGATGCTGAGTGCTGACTGTTGACCTCCACACAGACTTGACGTGAGTAGTGAAAGCTTGTCTTGCTTTTCGGATCGATTCTTGCTTTGATATCCTCGTCATTTCCGCCGGCCTGTAATTGAAACGATGCTTCCCAGATAGGTCGGTAGGTAAAGGAGGTAGTTTCAGGTTCCTTCCATTTATGCTGGCTGATTGTTGTCTGTTGTTCTTGCTGCCAGGAAAATCTTCATCACCTTTGTTTTCTCTATGTTCACCTGAAGGTGTATCTTCTCTGGATGCTTCTTCTGCCAACTTGTTGCTTTTCACTTGCATATCTTTCAGTTTGTGGGAAATCAGACATATAGCATCGTTGGCGAAGTCCAGATCCTCCAAGTTTTTTGTGTGAGTCCTTGGCATGGTTATTTTGTGAGGTGGTTCAGGTGTAGAATATAATGCTGATCAACCAACCACGCAAGTGGGTTAGGTTTCTGTTTCCAACGGATTCAGTCGAAGACTCCACCTAGCTTATTAGTGGATAAGAAGAAAGACTAGGTCGGGGGGCTCAAGGCTAGTTACACCATCCAGGCTCACGAAAACAGTACCATCACCACTGAAACTTTATAAACGCTTGAAGCAAAAATCATGCTTTCATAACCTCCTCAAATACTTAACGCGTTCTGATCATTTAGATTTGTCTAGAAGATCTGAAAATACTTCAGGTATGTGATACCAGTAATTCTGGTAGTATTATTTAACAGACACACACAGTATCGTAAGATTATGTCAACAATCGCCTTACAAACGACCTGTGTGTTTAACCTGCCATAAAATAATGTTTTACAATTCAGGTATTGCCTGAAACGGCAGTAAAGGACTCATTAAAAAATAACTAATCATATTTCACTTCATATGTCAGTTAGGCTGTCTTGGGTGAGTGGGGTGGGAGGAGCATATTAAAAAGACTGAAATCTATTACAAAGGGTCATATGATTAATCAAAAGTACTTTTTTCTCCCATCACCTTGAATTATAACCTTGACTCAGTATCATGTGATATGCTTGTGAAACAAGAACAATCATGTTAGTATTGATTTCATAAAAGTAGACGTTAATGTGATGAATATTGTTTTATGAAATGGATGGTTCCGGGATTTTCTTTGTATGTTTGAATATGTAACAACAGAAGACAAGGGCCAGGCAACAGATCGTTTATTAAGGAAAATCAACACATATTTATAGATTTTAATATACATTATTGTAGATTATTGTTAGTAGAAAATACAGTCTTTTGATTGGTTGTTTCTCATAGAAAGTTAACCTTGCATCTCTTTGTGGCTGTGTCAGATCACCATCCATATGCTAACTGTATCCGCCTACGCAAAGCCTTTGTTCTCATTTTCTCACCACTAACTAATATTGGAGACATAAACACATTGACGTCAATTACTGTCTACCAACTTTGGCTAGCAGCCAGCTCTCACCACAAATATACCTAAATTTGCATGTGTCATCCTAGCGGGAAACAAAATGGGTCTCACAGATATTTTATAGAGTAAGTGGTAGGAATGCTCGCCAGTTGCACACGTGATCGATGAAGGTTCTATTTCCAATGGAATAGCGGCTTAGCCGGTGAAAAAGAAGGAAAGTTACCCTGTCCGTGAGACTAGCAGAAAATAATGATAAACCGCCATAGTTCAGACTTTCAAAGCCCCATGTTGTTCCACTCAGAGGGAAGACAAAAGAATAGAAAAAGCGGGTCGAAGGTATCCTTCAACACACACACACCTAAAGTCTTGCAAACGCATATAGAGTGGATGGTATCTTTAATGTTTAGCAAGTAATTTGTGTATTTTATCTGCACAATTATTTTCTTACCGAAATCGAATGTCTCATTTCTCGCTAGAGCCTGTAAACGAATCGATGAGATATGTCGGATACATACATTCGTTTTTACAAACTTAAAGGTTATCCTCAAAACTTCGAGTTATGTAACTGTGACAAGTTAAAGGTTCTCTCTCGGTCAGCTATCAGGCGCATAGTCGCCGCGCTTCTCTTCATTCCTCAAACATTCTCCCGTAGTCTTTGCACCCCCCGCCCCCACGTATGAAGAAGAAAATTTAACCGACTGAACTTCACATTTTATATTTATTTACAAGCTCAATGCAGTTTGTGTAGAACCTTTTATGCATACAGGTAGAAAGAATTAAGAGAATGTTCCAATTTCATCTGGAAACAATATTATACCTCAGTGCTTTTATTGAATCGTATAGTACGGTCGGTCGGTTTTCGACACAGAACTTTGCACATATGTGCGCCAGTTCAAGTCGACACACTCCCTCCATGTAGTACACAAAGAAAGAGAAGAAAGTAGGAGAAATGCATATTAGAGAGAGACAGTAAACAGAGGTGTGGTGAGACAAAGGAATAGTAATAACGAAGAACAAAACAGTTTCATTGGAAATCATAAGTCAGTCACAAGAAGTGGATGCATCTGCGCCATGACTGAGAACGATTTTGAGCTAGCCATGTCACCAATTGTTTCCAGCCTTCATTGGTTTTTACCGTCCCGAGGACCCCAACCAGTCAGGAAGCCAGTCTGCATCTTCCTACGTGGCTGGCTGGCTTAGAATAACTGTTGTCGATTTCATTGACTGGTGTCATGTTTTCGTTTGACCGCCGCTGGCTAGCTCTTTTCCAGCCTGACCCTATGTCGGCTAACATTGCCCATTGTCGAGTAAGGCGATGACTAGGCAGGTATGCGTAACACATGTCCTAACCACCTCAGTCGATGTAATTTTACAGTCTCATCGATTGATTTCCCCTCCTTACCAACTAGCACTTGACTGATGGCCTAACCTGAATATTGCTCACCTTATTATACCACTTCACACACACGGGAGATAGAACGCAGACACCTATGATCAAAGACAGCTAGTATTTTCATGTCTTCCACTCTCAATGGCCAGGTCTCACAGCCAGCCATAAATGAGGACGGAGAGGACTGATGAGCAGTACACACGCCCTTTGGTCGACAGTCAGCCGGATATCACGTCTACGCGAGAGACGGCGTAAACTGGCATTTGCGAAACTAGTCCTCTGTATTCGTACTGAGATTTCTTCAGGGATCAACCCGATCGTATAGTCCATTCCGGGTTGGGGCCCTCGGGACTCTAAGAATCAATCAATGAAGGCTGGAGACAATAGGTGACATTGCTCAAAATCGTTGTCAATGGCGCAGATGTATTCAGTCTCTGTAATCTTTCATATTCCTTTCTACCACCATTACTCATTCATTCTGTTTCACTCTTATACTTATCTAAATTCTATTGATTCTCTTCTCTCATTTTCCTGTCTACCTTTGTGTGGTATTTGGAACGTGGCAACTGGAACTGGTGCACTTGGGTGCCAATTTCTATGTTGAATCCAGCAGCAGTAGCAGCCATTCAAAAATGGCTCTAATGTCAGTCAGTAGAAATCGTGCAACACTGATCGTGAAACATCATCGTTATTAACGTCTACACTCTTATTAATAAATCAATAGTACTAATGGTTGTTTTTTTGTTTCACCATCATATCACATGATACTAATTCAAGGTTATTCAAGGTGATGAAAGATAAAGAAGAAGCACTTTTGATGATTAGTCTTATGACCCTTGAAAATTATTTTATCGTGTGTGTGTGTGTACAGGCTAGAATAAATTTCAAGATGCTTAACCTACCCCTCCACCTCCATCCTGTGCTAATTCATCGACCTATGAAGGGTGACATATGATTGGTTATAAAAATGTCCTGGTATAACTCTAAATAAACTATAGCAGCTCAAACCGAAACTACCTAGCGAACTGGCAAATGACCTTGACAAGGACATTCCATTCTCCCCAAACAGTAATCAAAAACTAGATGTGGAGCGAGTCTGCAATGCAATAGGTGTAGAGAGCATCCATAATTACCTCTGGATAAAATAGAGTCACCTGATTGATGGTTACTCAAGGTGGTCATTTGTCCGTTCGCTAGGGTAGTTTCGGTTTGGGCTGCTATAGTTTAGAGTTACCAGTGTCCTTTTCCATTTCATCTTACACCTGAATAGTCAAACATTTTATGATAGTTGAACAGGCTGGTCGTTTGTTAGGTGATTGATTTTATAGGTACTGTGACATAGTGTCATCTTATAAATACCGTATTTTAGACTAGCTGTTGGCATACACTACTTGATAAGGTGTGAGTAGTAGGAAACCACTCATGTCAATCAATAATACCTCCCAGTAAGTTGGAGACGTGATTCATTGCCTCTTAGGCACGCACTCGGTTTTCAGTCGATAAGTTTTGGGGGTTCGAGTTCCACTTCACTTAGTTCAGCCTTAGCCGGTAAATAGTGGAGTTGCTTAACCTGATACGTGGAAAATATGTATTCCTGGTGATGGAGCTACCCAGATAGAAATGATCCAAGTGCCGTCAGAGAGTTGTTTCTCTAGTTTTGATGTGGAGATTACCAGTGGTGTACACCAGGTTTGACGCGAGTGACATCCAACTATTCTTAATTATGCATGCCTTCTTGATTGATCATGATCTTCTTTATCTGTTTTGGGTGAATTTTCACCTGAAACTGTAAGTAAATCAAAAACATTGACCGTTCCAATACATCCTTTCGTCACTTATTTATTCTAAAGTCTCCTGATGAGTTTGTTTTTTGAGTTATAACACTACACTGCGCGATTTTAATTTATCGAGCGGAGCAGTCGGTCACCACCCGGGTTCGAGTCTCTGAAACGAAATAAGTTCTTTCAAGATTGCAGATACTCCTTGCTGACTGATGAGTGTCAATAGGCACGAAACCATAGGGGCCTAAGGCCTCCTGTCGATTGCCTCCAGAGTGCACCCGGGATTGAGAGTCATTTAGCATGGTGTGTGTGGCCACATTGCAAACTTGACTGATAAGAATTCAGTCTTCACCAAACAAAGGACTCGATGTATATGAAATTATTATTACTATTGTTTCCTTTAATTCCTACAGGAACATAGGGCTTCAGCCGTGCGTCTCCATTGCGTTCGGTTCTCTGCTAGAGTCTTCCTTCACCTGGCTCCAATTCTGCCCACACGTTTTCATTTCCTCTTCACATGACCTAGTGATGTCACTCACTTGATGGTTTCCTCAGAGTATGGCCAGCCAATCCACCTACCTCCATTCCTTCCTGCCTATTTCTTTCACAATCGGTTGGTTCCTGCTGGGTTGGTTCGCTCATTGCCAGAGATCCCTCTCTGTTGGTGATCTTTTCTGACCGGCCGGCCATCTGATCATGAGTAGTATTGAGCGAAGACAACTGGCTGTTAATGAAGGTCTGTAGTTTGTTTGAGATGCTGTTTATGACGCACAGTGCAAGTCTCTGATCCATCCGTATAGTAAGCGGCACTGACTGACTTGACATTGGAGTTGAAAATCAGGATCTTATTTTTGATACTGAGTGTATATAATATAATGAGTAACAAATAAAATCAGTTAAATCGATATATTGAATAGTTTTCAGTCCTTATTTTTTATAATTTCTTTGATAATGTATTCTTTTATTTTGTTTATTTGATCCGATGTTTTCGATCGACTTTATTCATTCTTTAATTCGTGTACTCTCTCAATTGTCTATTTTAAGATACAACAGACACTTTAACTGCTTCTGATGGACCATCAGTTTACAAAAATTTGCTTCGATCATCTGTCGATTCAGTGACCTCAGTGCCTTCGGCCAATCCTAGTAGTAGTTCAGTAACTGATCCAATCTATTCTGAATCTTTGTGTTCGTCTTCATCGACACCTCATAATAATAATAATACCAACAACAACAGACGGATCAATCCAACAGGATCAGATTCACTATTTTCTTTCCCTTCTGAAAAGTGTACAAAAACGATAACAGAATATTGCCGTTTAGTTCCAAAGCGCCATAGTTCCGGTTCTTCACCAATCTCTACACCACCATCGGAAGAAAGCAGTTCTGATACAACTGCGTTAAAAGCACCTTCACCAGAATATTGGACATTGAAGAATTCTTCACGTTACACTCATGGAATATGGAATAATAATAATATTAATAATCATAATAGTAATCATAATAGTAATCATAATAATAATAATACAGCATATCATGATTTACACAATCGTCATACATTCCAACCGGGGGCGAATAATTATCATCATCAATATTCACAAACTAAAATCATTCCAGCATCATCATCATCATCGATTAATCGACAGTCTAATAAATTATCTAATAATTGTAGTATGACAATGGCTGCTGCTGCATCATCATCGTCACATTCCACCAATGTAGTAAGACCAGTAACAGCATCATCTGAGCGTAAATCTCAATTCACTCTGGACGATTTTCCTTCTCTGTCATCGTTACGTTCTGTGGTGGTCAGTGCAGAGTCATCCAGTGTTGTTTCAACTAAGCATAATAATAATAATAAAGTAGTTCATACGAATAACAGTCAAAATAATAGTAGTACTATCAGCATCAGTAGTAGTATCCATGGTGTCGATAGAAACAGCAATGCAATCAATAATATTATAGCTACTTCTATTCCTCTATCCTCCTCTGGTGAATTGTCAGCAGCATCGCTGCCTCTTGGAAAGTGCTTCAATAATCATCAGTCCAACTTGAAGGAAAGCAAAGGTAAGCTCTCGAAATTATGAAAAAGATAAATCTATAAACAAATATTTGGTTACAGGATTTTCATCATGAGTTGACATTAGTTAGGGAGCGATTGGAAAACCAGCTGGGAGTACTGGACAACTGTTTCTTCCTAGTTTGGGACTCTTCATCAGTACGCACCCACCACACGGTGTTCGAACCCAGGACCTGCTGCTTACAAGGCGAGCTCGTATACCATCAAGGCACTGGGACCCGATCCAATGGCCCATGAATTCTAACTTCTGCCAATTCACGACATAGCGCTACCCCTAGCCAATGTCTTCGGCGAGTATTTGTCCTCACACCCGACCTGCTGCGCCCTGATGGTCACGGATGGTCCTGGGTTCGAATCCCGGTGGGTGCGTACTGATGAAGAGTCCCAAACTAGGATGAAACAGCTGTCCAGTACTCCCAGGTTTTCCAGTGGTTTTTAACTAATGTCAGGTCATGATGAAAATCCTGTAACCAATCAAATCCCTACAAACCAACACTTAAATATTTATTTATTTTTTTAAACGCAGAAAAAAACTTGGTACAATATGGCACCAAGAAAGACGCGCCACACAATAATAATAATAATAATAAAAACATAGATTAAAAGTAAAAATATAAGTAGAAAACGGATAAAGAACTTCATCTGGAAGGAAAACAGTCATGTTTAACAAGTTCAAACAGTATTCGTTACCTATCATCAGGAAGGGAAAAAAGAAGGAAATTGCAACACGTTCGCCATTGATTACGATTCTTGGCCATATCCGATAACGTTTCGTGTCATCAATTCGAGCTATCTCGCGGACCCTAACCAGGGAGTTGTGACGCACCAACCGATGCTAATCTAGCACAAATATCCTTCATCCCACGACGCCACGTCATGGGCTGACCACCAATCTGCCTTTTCCATCCCGTCCCAGGGCTGGCTAGCGAACAGAGACCTGTACGGAAGCCTCTGGGATGACATTCGCAGTACATGTCCAAGCCACCGGAGCCGGTTTTTCCAGATGACGACACTCAATGAATGGTGATCTCCACTGTGTTCAAACACACGCCGCTGAACCTCAGTATTACTCACGCGATGATGACTTCGAACGCAAGCGATGATCGAACACGCAGAGTTGCCTAACATCCTCAGCTTGGAGAGGCCAGGTTTCACAGGCGTAGAGCAAGACAGCCCGCACCGAAGCATTGTATACCCGACCAACTTTGACAGCCAGGCTAACGTCGCGACGGAGCCAGAGGTGGCTCAAGTTGATGTATGCCACCCTAGCCTTCATGATACGGTTGGAAATCTCATCCGTCACCATCCCTTCGCCAGCACTCACACAACTACCCAGATACACAAACTTATCAACAACTTCAAGCAGTTCACCCGCTAGAGTGAGTGCAGGTACAGGCTCCTGTCAATCTTGTAACAGTACTTTGCACTTAGACGGTGCAAAGCACATATCATACTTACAATATAGGCTCGAATGCCACTCCACCTACTTACTCTCTAGCCTAGACACCTAAGTACTTACTATCCACAGCACTTACATGATGATAAGTGTAGCTTCTATGGCTTGGTGCATATTATATATATATATGTTTGGGCAACTAGCTAACTTTGTCCGGAATGAATTCTTCCGTCAATTCAACAGTCGACGGAATAACTGACTGTGACAGAGTTTCAGCATAGAACTCACTTTGCACAGAAGTGCAGCAGTTCAATTTACCACATTCAGTGTGTGTGGGGCACACGTAGCGATATGACTCACTGGCTTAATAACGCCCAGCTCTCTGTCAGTGGGTTCAGGGTTCGAGTCTTCTACCTCTGCCCCCCTGCGCAATTGGATAGTGTCACCAATCGTCACACAATAACAGTGTAACTCATGGCTCTGACAAATGAAAGATCTGTGTTAAGAGCTGAGTTCATAAAATGCAGCACACAAAGAAAGAATATTAACATGGAAAAAATGATGGTTTAGTTGATACGATGAGAGATCAGAAAGAGTGAACGATTTGGAGGCACATCGACTATCTGTTGTTAATATCCTGAAGACCACCCAACTAGACAGCCTCCATCGTTCTACGTGACTGGTTCATACCAGCCATCCCTGACTCTTTTCCAACTTAATCTTATGTTGACTAACTGTGTTACTGCCAATTCAGTTAATTAAACTGAACCCGTCTAGACTATATACCCTGTATCAGCGAATAGTTGCCCATTTATATACCTGCATATATACATACCTCACCGTTTATCACTAAGCTAGCGGTACTTTTAAATCTGACTCATGGAGTCCCTTATGGATGATGTTTCTCTATCTATTCCTCATTCTCCGATTGAATTAACTTCTCATGACAATTGTTCATATATTATCAAGATAAAATCTAGAGCTGAGGTTCCAACTCCAGTACCCATCGTTTCAAATGCCAATCAATTGACCGGGAAATCAAAAGTGAATGAAATATAAGTAATAACTGACACCCCGTTGCGCAAGAGAGGTGGCTCTTGGGGTCCAAGTAGTCTGTCTAGTGAATAACGCTTTGGGTTCGATCCACAGTGAGAACACCGTCACTTGTTCACTCATTGGGGAATGCAGGTACATCCAGTTGACGAGTGCCACAAATAGGACGAAGTGCACATTGTGGATTCCACTGCTAGTCATCATTATCCACCAAATCCGTCAAATCACTGGATGGGAAAATCGAAATTGTGAATTATAAATAAGTAATATTTTCTATCTTGTATGGAATCTTTATTTCTTCCATGTCTCTTTCTAAAAGAAAATATTCGTATTCTCAAGTTTAAATGAAGCCTCTGTGTTTGTGTATTCTTCTTTTGTCTCTTTTTCTTTAGATGCCACGTTTCAGCTGAAAAATAACTTGGATGCCAGTGATGGTGATACTGCTCCTCCTTCTACTACTGCAGCTAAGCAGACTTCATTGAATCCTCGTGACGAAGTATTGTTGAACAACAACTCTCAGTTGATAAGTGCAGCAACACATAGTGGTACAATCAATGATATGCCTGGCATATCTCGTCTGGTTAATACTTCTGCAACTGGTAATACGAATAATAATAATAATTTCACTGTCTCACCACCACATTATTGGATTTCACCACATGGTCCTATACCTATCCTACCGTCAGCATTATACCCACCGTCATATCTTTTGCCTTCATCACCGATAGTCTTAGATAATTCCCAGTCTGTACATCGTTTGCCTATGATATATCAATGGGCAGTACACCCGTGTAGCAGTTCTACTAATACTACTACTACTAATACAACCATTGCTACTAATCCGACCAGCAATAATAGTAATCATAGTAATCATGTCGGTGCATCTTTAATACCTTATTTACCGTCATGTGTTAGTATTGTTACAACTAGTGCTGCTGCTTCTGCTATGCACAATAATGTTGGTATAAAATCTGAAAAAGGCAAACCTATCGAACATGTTGGTGGTGCATTTTCACAAGAATCATCTGATGAAGAAGAAGAAGAAGAAGCAGAGGTTAAGAAAGTATCGAAAAATACAGTCTGTCCAGTGAGTACTAGTAGTAGCGGTAATAGTGGTGAATTATCCATAGTTTCTTCTATTAGTACTTCTACTTCTACTGCTGTGGAACTTCTTCACAGTATTACAACAACAACAACAGCAACATCCATGTCATCGACAATTGATTTGTGCACACAACCATGCATTTTACTACTGCCATCATCGTCATCATCAGTATCAACATCTTCGTGTTCCACACCAATCTCGGTTATTGTTTCTAGTGCTGCTGCTACTGCTTCTGCCATCTACAGTACAGTTCCTCAATCTACTTTTGACAAATCTACAAATCTTACAACTTCAAGTTTATCTAAACCTTCTAGTGGAATAAAGATGACATCCTCAGCATCATCTTCATCGGTGTCATTGGTTCCGACAACTCCACTGACTGCTTGCAGTGGTAATTCTTGGAGTACTAATAAAATTAACAATAATACTACTAGTGATAGTAGTAGTAATCATAGTAATAATGCACCGGTGAAACGTTTGAATGATGAATTGGATTTAGCTGTTGTCAATAAAACACAAGGGGGGAAGACAACAAAGCATAGTTCATTTACTCGTCCTGTGTCGTCGTTATCCACACCATCTATTATTTGTATGACTACTACAAGTGATATCGTTGCTCCTTCGATTGTTGGTACTACTACTGCTACAACTACAATGGCAACAAAGATGGTAATGACGACGACAACTACTTCTACTACTGCTGCTGTATTCCTGCCAACCAGTAATGTGACCATATTGTCTCGAAATCATTCATCGAACAAGTTAGTCAAATGTTTATTTTGTTTATTTTCTTGTTTTTTCTCCTTTGTCCATTTATCGATGACATTATTGTATTGTATCGTATGCATATAATTGGGTCATTTTCCTGTACTGTATCGTAATGATAGTTTTTACACTAACTAAGTGAGTAGGATGTTGCGGCGGCTTATAGCTGTGATTTCACTCAGACCCCGTGTAACACTCTGGAGTACAGGTTTGACTTGACTGGATTCCAGTAGAGATAGTCGTATGTGTGTGGTCCGTCTGAATGGGTCCGTTAAAAGAAGGATAGACGCCGCTACCTGTCGTTGCCTTTTCGTAGTCTCCGCTTACGCCCAAACAGACTGCAGTTCAGATGAATTAAAAGATGACTTCTACCTGAAACTGTCTAATTTGCTGCAAATAGCAAAACGTTCAGACATAGTGGTTTTAGCAGGCCGCTCAGCAGTCCGCTCCGTCCTCCTTTATGGCTGGCTGTGAGACCTGGCCATTGAGAGTGGAAGACATGAAAAGATTAGCTGTTTTTGATCATAGGTTTCTGCGTTCTATCTCCCGCGTGAAGTGGTATAATAAGGTGAGCAATATTGAGGTTAGGCCATCGGTCGAGTGCTAGGTGAGGTGGGGAAATCAATCGACGAGGCTGTGAAATTACATCGACTGAGATGGTTAGGACACCTGCCTAGTCATCGCCTTCCTCGACAATGGGCAATGTTAGCTGACACAGGATGGGTCAGGCACGAAAAGAGCTAGCCAGTGGCGGTCAATCGAAAACATGGCACCAGTCAGTGAAATCCACAACAGTTAGTCTCAGCCGGCCACGTAGGAAGGTGTAGACTGGCTTCCTGACTGGTTGGGGTCCTCAGGACGGTAAAAACCAATGAAGGCTGGAAACAATTGGTGACATGGTTAGCTCAAAGTGATCGTTCTCAATGGCTGGCTGGCCAGTGCAGATGCATCCACTCCTTGTGACTTATGATTTCCAATGAAACTGTTTTGTTCTTCGTTATTACTATTCCTTTGTCTCACACCTCTGTTTAATGTCTCTCTCTAATATGCATTTCTCCTACTTTCTTCTTTTCTGGCTTTGTGTGGTACAAGGAGGGAGTGTGTCCACTTGAACTGGTGCAGATATGTGCAAAGTTCTATGTCGAAAACAGATAGACAGACAGGTTTGAGCCTCAGTTCACCTACAGGTTACAGGTGATTTGGGTTAGGTCTCACTTATCAACAGGGATAGTTTATCCATCGCTCAGATAAATCGAATTGCACATGTTTTGGGATGAGTAACATCAGCACTTTTCTGCGCTCAAAATGATGAGATGTGTCCAAACGCGGGGGGGGGGTAGTGTTGACGTTGGCGAATTATTTGTATCATAATTATTATTTCCTTAGGTGCGAGTGGAACATATGACTACGCAGTACATCTCGATTTGTCCTATTTTCTGCATTCCTCTTCTGCTAGCCCCACAATTGCCAATAAGCTTTCATCTCCTTCATATCACCCTCGGGCCGACACCCAGCTCTTCGTTTTACACTCGGGGTGCACCCGAACGTTGATGGCCTGGCGCTCGACGTCACCATACAGTCACCTCAGCTTGTGTCCAATTCATCTTCCTTTTCTTCGTCATATTTGTTGAGTAAAAGGTTCTTCATTGATTGATTCGTTCCTGGAGTTTCTTGTTGCCAATTCTTTCTGACCATCTTATTTAGAGTATGGAGTCGGTTAAGGCAACTGTTGATAATAATCTGTGAAGTAGCTTGTTGCAAGTGTTTTCCGTGACACACGAAGCAAGTTTCTGACGTATAAAGAAGCACTAAATTGACTTAACATCTCTGTTTTTAAGGTCCACATCTTGTTCTTTATGTTTAGTGCTGTGGATTGCCAAACTGACTTTGCAGTGATAAAGGTTTGTCTTGTCTTTTCGATTCTGTTTGTGAAATTCTTATTCATGCCGTGCGTGATTGAAACGAAACGATGAATTACAGAGTTCCAAAAGATTACTAACAAAGCGAATTGAATCAATGAAAAACAACGGTCACTCATCATTTATATGTACAGCCTAAATGATAATTAAGTGTACGTACGAATGGGTTGCATGATTTCAGTTTACAGAAGACTTCAAAACTAATAAATAGTGCTCATCAGAAATTACATTTATATATTTCAAAAAGAGGCAGTTATCAGTTTTTCTTTGCCCCCTGGTAATTTTAATGTATTTACTCTCCTTTTTATTCGATATAGTAATCTTTGCTTTTAACCTCTTCCCCTTTCGATTTAATGTAATTTTGTCTGTCTTTTGTTTCCATGACTTGAATTGAACACTCACTACACTGTTAGTTAACTCATTAGTTGGTGGGGATGTTTCCCACAAGAGCAAAAGGGATGGATTCGAAAGTCTAGTCTGATCTACCTAAGAAAACTGAAAACCTCGGATTTCAAATCTATGGTCTATATGAACTGTCTGTCTGTCTGTCTGTCTGTTTTCGACATAGAACTTTGCACATATGTGCGCTAGTTCAAGTCGACACACTCCACGGCTTGTAGCACACAAAGCCAGAAAAGAAGAAAGTAGCAGAAATGCATAATAGAGAGAGACAGTAAACAGAGGTGTGGTGAGACAAAGGAATAGTAATAACGAAGAACAAAACAGTTTCATTGGAAATCATAAGTCAGTCACAAGGAGTGGATGCATCTGGTCTGTCATTGAGAACGATTTTGAGCTAACCATGTCACCAATTATTTCCAGCCTTCATTGGTTTTTACCGTTCCGAGGACCCCAACCAGTCACGAAGCCAGTCTACACCTTCCTACGTGGCTTAGACTAACTGTCGTGGATTTCATTGACTGGTGAGGCCATGTTTTGTTTTGACCGCTACTAGTTAGCTCTTTTCCAGTCTGACCCATCCTATATCGGCTAACATTGCCCATTGTCGAGGAAGGCGATGACTAGGCATGCATTCGTAACACATGTCCTAACCATCTCAGTCGATGTAGCTTCACAGCCTCGTCGATTGATTTCCAATTCCTCCTTACCTAGCACTCGCTATATGAACTGAAGATTCCGATTGAATCAGATGGCGTATGAACCTGTTTTAGTCACTGGATCATTCTTCGAGTCAAATGCTCGGTGTAGGGAATGGGCGTGTGGTGGTGGTGGTCCCCTAGGACAACCAACCTCCTACTTCAGTCTTGGCGTCTGGGTTTCTAGTTTCCCAATCCTGACACAGCCTGTGAATTTTTTCATAGCTCATCTTTTGGTGCCCATGAGGTAACAATTTATTATGTCTGTAATGATTATTACACTATTCCGAAAATAAGGATACATCTGGACTGTAATTTTTTTTGAATATGAACGGATGTCGAAATTATTTGTAACGCTACACTCAGATCTGTTGACGTTAGGCGTAGAGTGTTGAGCAAAGAGGGAAAATCAATCGACGAGGCTATAAAGTTGCATAGATTGAGATGGCTAGGTGACGTGCTGCGAATGCCTAACCATTGCCTCCTCCGACGGACGGGCATTACTAGCTGATATAGGTGGTGCAGGTTGGAGGAAAAGAGTAGGTGGTGGCCAAACAAAAACATGGCCTCATCAATCCATGAAATCTTTGACAGTTAAACTGAGTCAGGTAGGGAGGGAGATGCAGACTTCCGGGTTGGGGCACGCCCTCGGGACTCTAAGAATCAATCAATGGCTGGAGACAGACAATGGGTGACATGGCTCAAAATCGTTGTCAATGGCTTACGCAGATGTATTCAGTCTCTGTAATCTTTCATATTCCTTTCTACCATTACTCATTCATTCTGTTTCACTCTTATACTTATCTAAATTCTATTGATTCTCTTCACTCATCTTGTTGTCTACCTTTGTGTGGTATTTGGAAGGTGGCAACTGGAACTGCTGCACTTGGGTGCCAAGTTCTATGTTGCATCCAGCCAGCCAGCCAGATCTGGTTTGTTTGTCTTCGAAATACTTTCGCCGTACATGATTAATCATCATGTGGTTCTTGTTCACATGGTTATTAAATCCCATCATGTATAGTAGTCTCATACATACTGTTATGTAACTAGAGTTTGTTTGTTTGTACTAAACTTCTTATTTTTATATCTTTCGTTTTGTACACAGTTTGTCGTCCCAACTGTCAAATCACTGTAATCAAAATGGTGTTTCCACTGCAGTTGGTGGTGGTGATCGTCCTAAAGATCCCGGAGTAGTAAATTCTGTTGCTAACGATGAATCATCGACGCCATTTACTACTGCTACTGCTACAGTTAAACCTGGTCTTGCATTGAGTGCTAACAACGAAACTCCTTGTCATCCAACTTGGTTCTATCCACGTTTTCCTGCTCGATCTGATTCTGTAAATACTTTAACCTGCAGTAGTAATCATAATAATAGTAGTAATGGTCCCACTCAACAACGTGTCTATCCTACTCGTGGTTATTCTCCAATGATTTTCAATCATACTGGTAGTTTACCTCGAGGATATATTCAACCACAGATTGCAAATACATTTTACTATGCTGCTCAACCGTCAGGATTGACTTTAATCCCTACAGCACCACCATCGGTCTCCGGCAGTCATCAATCATCATATATCACTTCTGTTCATAATAACAATAATAATAATAATCCTAATGTGCATTTTCAACATCCACCGCCTATATACGGTTTTATTCCTAACGTGCCGACGTCATCAGGTGTATCCTTAGTAGATATTGGCGGATATATTGGATTGACTCCAGTCTCTTCTGTTGCCTCTTTGTCTACTTCCAATTCTCCGAAATCGAATATTTGTGGTGGTGGTACACTGATGATTGATCCTATGTCAACAACATCATCAACGACGACAACAGGAGCAGCAGCAGCAACAGCAACTATATTACCAAATGGTTTATTTCAATTACAAAGTGTTCCACTAGTACCAAACTTTATATTACATCCACCTGTACATCCAAATTTTCCACCTCCTGCGTCTAATTTAACTAATGGTACTAATTGTTGTAATAATAATAATAATAGTACTAATATCCCAGATATAATGAGTATCTCTTCACGGTCAAATATGAATGGACCTAGAATACTAAGCTGTTATAATTGTGGTCAACTTGGTCATAAGGCTAATACTTGTCCATCAAGATGGTCTAGTCAACCTATAATAGAGAGTAAGTAATATATTATCCTTTGTTTTCTTCTTTTCTTTGTCCAATTCATTTTATGGTTGACTTTTATTGTTTTTTGCATTCCTTGCGTTCTTAGTGAAGCATAGGATCCTTCGAGTTGGCTGAAGTTTCAGTCACGGATAGTGTTGACTACTGGGATTGCTAACGCGCCCTAACGCGCTCAACCCCTTCTATCAGCTTTCTTGTCACCTGAGCTCGATGTTTGTTTAGGGAATTAGACCCAGGACCTCCAGCGTGCGTGTGACGACTGGCAAACAAACCATTGCACTGAACTACCGAAGCCCAGTGTGGTACAATCAGTAGGGGCGGGGCGCATTTGGATCACTATTTATACTCTACAAGTAGCATTTATGGGTTATATCTGTCGGCTGTTAAGATTATTGACTGACTAACTTTCGACAGTGGAGGTATGGTACATTTAGTTAGTGAAAGCTACTCAGTATAAAACTACAGTTGATTACGAGTTTGCACCTCGTTCAGTTCACTAAAGTTTGAGCTTAGCCCACCCACACTGTGTTTATGTGTATTTATTTTAGTGTTTCAGTTATGAGAATGTTTTGTTACACTTTATGAACCTTGTATAATGAAATATTATATGGTGTTAGTATCCAATGGAGGGGTATACAACTCTGCGTGGTTGGGGAACGGTGTGGTATAAGCATATACGTGCTTATATGTATATATATATAATATAGGTTGGTGTTGGTGCTTCGGTGGCAGAACGCTTGCAAAACACGCAAGTGACGCGTGGTTCGACCCCCCAACTGACTCACTCATAAACCTCGCTAATCCGATGAAGAGGGAAGTTTGGATGTGAGGCTGGCGACCCCTTAAAAATAAAGCCACCGCCACCAAAGCTCTGGCTTGTGTGTCTGTATATTCCACTCGGAATGTAAAGTAACAGAATAATAATAATAATATGGGTAGGTGCTGCTACTGTCTTAATCAGCGCGATTTCATCCAACAATTTTCACGAAACAGCTGTCCAGTACTCCCAGGTTTTCCAATGGTTCTCTAACTAATGTCAGCTCATGATGAAAATCCTGTAACCAATCAAATCCCTACAAACCAACACTTGAATTTTTCACTCTATTTGAGTTGTATTCGCCTTCTTCGCGATCTACACAGTTCGTGGTATAACTTCACCGCAGTCTCTTATATATAAACACCACAGCTACACTCAGATCACAATCGATATATATATGATCTGCTTGATTGATAGTATAAAAATGGCAATCAAGAAAGCAAGCTTAATTGCATGATGCTACATATTATTGTTTGATTGATTGATTGATTAATATGAGCAGTTGGGGAGTCACAAATTTTACTCAATGTGTTACTAGTTGACTCAATGGTCTAACCAGAAGTTGGATGGTTTGAAATGATTCGTGATTGACCTCCTGTAGGACTGTAGTGGGTATTTTGATTGGACACTAGTAATTAGTGTGACGTGTATAGTCCTTTCTTTGGTGCAGACTGAATTCTATCAGTCAGATATTTGCAATGTGGCCACCATGCCTCTAGGTACCTCGCCATCACGGTGCACATTGATTTGATGATATTAGATAGTTGGATGCAATCGGTAGGAATAGCTCAGTGGTAACGTCTCAGACTGCAGTGCTGGGTGGCGCGAGTTCGAATCTCAGAAGGGACATGAGTTCCTTCAAGGTTGCAGATACGCCTTGCTGACGAGTTCCAACTAGCACAAAACCTAGGTCCAAGGCTTCCTACCGATTGCCTCCAACTATCTAATATCATCAAATCAATGTGCACCGTGATGGCGAGGTACCTAGAGGCATAGTGACCACATTGCAAATACCTGACTGATAGAATTCAGTCTGCATCAAAGAAAGGACTAGACACGTCACACTAGTTACTAATGTCCAATCAAAATATCTAAAGCTTGTTATGTCAGCTACTGGCTCATTGTCTCCTTTGGCTTTAAATTGCGCTAAGGTGATTGATTAAGCCAAGAGGGAGTGATAATCACGACTCTTCACACAATGATGACAGCAATCATGCCACATACATACATATATTAATGTTATACAGACAGCTTTTGTCCGCTTCGTTTGATTTATAAGTCCCATGTGGCAACTCAGCAACTGTTATAGTTCGTAGCTGTTATCGCGGGTCCGCGTTAAATATATTGAGGTGTTAGATTTTTTCTTCCTTCACGCTCCCAGTGGAACACAGGGTTTCAGGCTAGTGGCTTGAAGTTTCTGTAGCAGTATTCATTTTACAGGATGGAGTTGATAGCCTCATGCCCAACCTTTCCTCTTCACCAGCATTTTTTCTGGCTTAGCGAGGTAAAAGAGTGCGTCGGCCGGGGATCGAACCCCGCACCATGTGCAAGGTCGGCGAGCGTCCTAACCGCTATGCCACCGACGCCAAAAATAGTCAGGAAGCCTTGGACCTAGGTTTTGTGCTAGTTGGCACTCGTCAGCAAGGCGTATCTGCAACCTCAAAGGAACTCATGTCCTTTCTGCGATTTGAACCCGTGTCACCCAGTGCTGCAGTCAGAGACGTTACCGCTGAGCTATTCAGGCTCAGTGTTAGATTGACCAGGTCTAATCATGGAGGGGAAAGTAATTGTTAGCTTTTTTTCATTAGTGTTCACATAGTTATTTTTACTTCATCGATAGGGAAGAAAATATAATGACATTTAGGATAATCATATAATCAAAATGTTCTTCGCCAAGTTCTTGTTCATTGGGACTGGACTGGTTTCAAGTCTGATCGCGAATTGAAAGAAGTTGAAATTTTTAAGCCGATTGAATTTTCTGTCCAAAGGACTCTGAATGATCAACGTGCTCTCCGTGTCACATGAATGTCGTGTGTGTATGTGTGTACTTGCTAAAGAGTCCCAGATGATTAGGATTTAACCTCTTTAAACGGTTCTCTAAATGATCAAACTTGAAAATGTACTTCTCTTGTTAACCAGAAACTCCAAATAGTCTGACTTTTGGGAAGGGGGGGTGCGTTAATTAAGTGTTTTTATAATTTTTCACAGTCTATCTATTGTTTCTTTTCTCTCTTTCTCTCTCTCTCTCCATCTTCTATTTTTAGATGTGTTCTCGTTGAACTGTGCTCCAAGGAAATAAATAGTTCGCGTACACATACACTTTTTCAACTGTAGTCAGATAAACAATAACCAAAAAACACTAAAAAATCTTGTTTTTTTTTTAAAATTTCCTCCCCCACTCTTAGTTTATATCGAAGGAGAAAGAACAGTAGACATTCTTTTTATGTTTGTCGACAAAAAAAATAATTCAGAAAGAAAAACGAAATCAAAGACACAAAGATTTTCGCCTTGCTGCTTTGCTTTCTTTCTCTCATTATGTCTTTTTCCCCATCGGTGCCCGCTTTTTTACTCTTTGCTCAAAGTCGTTGTACAGCAAGCTTGAGGTGTATCGTATTTATTTGTGCATATTGGACCGTTTGTGATCGTCTTCTGCCTTGTCACTCACTCCCCCACTCTATCTCTTTCTGTGAGTGTTGGGCTCGCTTTGTCCGTGTCTATGTTATAACGCTCGATTATACTAAATATCTGCGCATATTTACTATTTTGCGGTGAATAACTGTTAAAAAAGTTTGTCAATCACAATAATTATCAGCATTCATCTTATTGACATTAGCGAGACACACAGAGAGAAAAAGAGGGTGGGGGAAGAGAACAATTAAAGCCTAAATTGAAACCCTCCTCATTTTGTGTAGATTAAAGTGTTACACATTAGACATCCTGTCGTACATCCTGTCTTGCACTCTTTTATATATGTACACACTTATATTTTTTGCTTAAATTTTTTACCCTGTAAATACTTTCTGTATGCCTTGATTTGTTTAGACCAATCAAAGACCCACTCCTCTTGTATTATATATATATGATTGTTGTAAAGTGGTTGTGCATACCCCGTTTGTACTTTGCCACACATACACACACCCAAGCATGGACATATACCGATTATTTGTGTTACTACTGCTACTACTACTACTGCTAGTGAATTGGTAGTAGTGTTTAGGATCTTACCTTGAATTTCGCATATCTTTTTCGTAATACTTCAAGCAGAGTTAGGTGTTTTTTTTCTTGTAAAATCTCATCATCCTTACTTACATCTATTAGTGATGTGTGCAAAAGAATCATAATAATAATGATAACTAGAACTACCTCTCCCCATGCCTATGACGTAACAGAAATGAATGACGTAAATACTACTCGTATTATTGTTCTGTGTTATTGATCGATCGATCGATCCATCCATCGATCGATGGATCGATGAACCGACCCAACGACGGATTCTCCTTTCGTCTTTCTTTCTGTGTTGATGATACCATTTATCTGATTCATACATATGACACGCCCACACACACATGCATTCATACACCAAACACTGACTGACTGACTGACGAAATCATGTCTCTTCTCGTTGAACGAATCCTTCACAATTTCTAATTTTTTTGGGATCTTAGTGCTTTTACTTTTATGTGTGTTATAATATCACACACAATATGATGACCAGTCTTAATTCTTTTTTTCTTTCTGGCGAAGACATATTTGACAAATCAAAGGAAAAAAGCATATGTGTGTAGAACAATTACTCTCTCTTTCTCTATTACACACCCACGCACAAACAAACACTTTCCCGTCCCCCTCCTTGCAAGTATGTGTGTATTCTCAATGATTTGTATTTGTAATCCTCAATTCCCCATCCATCTATTATTATATGTGCTTTTATTGTGGTGCGGCATTTCAACGTACAGAAATTCTTTTATTTCCTTTTTGTTTACCCTCATTTGATTGTTGTGTGTATTATATTGTGTGCATTTTAACTACAACAACAACCACAAAAAAAAACACAACCACCACAAACTCTATTGCCTTGTCCCCCTTACTTTGTTCTTTTTTCCATTCGTTCATCATCTAGAGACTGACTGTTATACAAAACTGTATGTGTAGCATAGTATGCCTCGTAATCTCTCTCTCGTCTACATCTAAGAAACTGTGTTTTAAGCGCTTGTATTATGTTTTTGTTCAAAATAAGTGTACTACCGCTGATTATTATTATCAATGAGAATGACGATGATGAGTGGTTGTTATCCATCCTCCGCCAATTCCATCACCTCAACATCAACTCTGTGTATATGTGTGTCTGTGCACATCGAATGCTGTGGTTGTGTGTGTGTGTTTGTGTCTAATGTTTGTTGGTCCTTAAAGTGTCGAGAGAGAGACACAGAGGGAGAGATGTGTGTGACTGAAGACGTTTCTTTGCCTTCTCTATCGCTTATCTCACCATACACACTTATCCACATACACTCATGCACGCACGCACGTATTCAGTCAAAGTTTGCAAACTGAGAGCACCGACACGCACACATCCACAGAGAGACAAAATTTACCTGTGTCGTGGTATGTGTATATTGACATAATAACAATAATAATAATTATTATTATTATTAGTAATAGTAGTACTAGTGGTAGTAGTAGTAGTATATTTTGGTTGTCCTTTATCTGCTTCCCTTATTATCATTATTATTATTATTATTATTGTCCATAGGTGATACAAACATACCTATACAGACATATGTGAGTGTTATTACCATATGTGTATATCTGACAATTCTTATTTTTTAAATAGATAAAAAAATACAAACTCAATATTAATAAATAAAAAAATTATCAAAAAATTACACTATTTATTTGTCCTTGTTTTTATTTCTTATTGATTGGTTGATTGATTCAACGATTGTAACGGCTCCCATTCTTTGTTGACATGTTTGTTACCGTCTCTCCCATTCTCATGTTGTTCGAAAAGTTTTGTTGGAGCTCTGAAATGAGTGTGTGCTGATTTGGGTGTTTGAAGCTCATTGGTGGAAGGGCTTGAGGCGTGCGTCTCCACTGCGTTCGGTTCTCTGCTAGAGTCTTCACCTGGCTCCAAGTCTGCCCATACACACACTTTCATCTCCTCTTCACATGACCTCCTCCAAGTCACCCCACCCTTGTACTGACGCCCAACTCGCCGCTTCCCATTCTGTCGGATTCCACTCGAGCAATGGCTTGTCTAGTGATGTCACTCACTTGATGGTTTGTTTCCTCAGAGTATGGCCAGTCAATCCATCTACCTCCATTTCTTCCTGCCTATTTGTTTCACAATCGGTTGGTTCCTGCTGTGTTGGTTGGTTCGCTCATTGCCAGAGATCCCTCTCTGTTGCTGATCTTTTCTGGCTGGCCATCTGATCTTGAGTGGTATTGAGCGAAGACAGCTAGCTGTTAATGAAGGTGTGTAGTTTGTTTGAGATGCTGTTTATGACGCGCAGTGCAAGTCTTTGATCCATCCGTATAGTAAGTGGCACTGACTGACTTCACTCACATTGGAGTTGAAAATCCGGATGTTATCTTCGTTTTGATGCTGAGTGCTGACTGTTGACCTCTACAGAGACTTGAGAGTAGTGAAAGCTTGTCTTGCTTTTCCGATAGATTCTTGCTTTGACATCTTCGTCAGTTCCGTCGGCCTGTAGTTGAAACGGTGCTTCCCAGATAGGTAGGTAGGTATAAGGGGTTCTTTCTTTCAGGTTCATCATTATATATATATATATATATATATATATATATATATATATATATATATATATATATATATATGATTATAACACTGTAACTTTTCATTCCATTTATGTGTTGTGGTGTCAGTGTTTGTGTACATGTGTGTGTGTGTGTCGTTCGAACTTCTTTCCCGGAGTGGGGGGATCTTCACATTCCGGGTTACACAGCCAGGCTTATCGCGCGTGTATTTATGTGTGTGTGTGTGTGGGTTGCTCTGATGAATATTTCCTAGTTAGTTGCCTTGGCTGAAATAGGTCAAAAGCGGGATTCGAGCCGAAGATCCACTTACTTACCGAATGAAAGTGGAGTGCTTTAAGCCAGTTATTCACATCTCTTAGGTGGGGACCACGAAAAGACTCGAACCTGATGTGTTGGATTCAGAGTCGACAGTGCCTACCACTATATCATTGGACTCCTTTGACTCAACACTTAGAATACGGCATAAATTCTCATTTGAACTGCTCCATTTGTCGAGGTTTAGATAGTCAGATAGTTTTTCTGTACCCATCATAGAATAGATTTAACTTATTGCTAATAGTATGTAAATGCAAGTGATTATCGATGCAGCTGAATGGTTTAATACACCTAGGTATAACCCCACCGACGAAATCAGAAGTCCTGAAGGTAATCAAGATGCTAAAAGCTGGAAAAGTAGCAGGACCAGATGGAATCCCAGCAGAAGCATTGAAAATGGACCCAGAGACAATAGCGGACTTGATGACGCCACTATTGGAGAAGGTGTGGAAAGAGGGCAAGGTATCTGCGGATTGGAAGAAAGGATACTTATTTAAACTACCAAAGAAAGGAGACTTAAGTCAATGGAAGAACTGGCGCGGAATTATGCTCCTGTCCATACGAAGCAAAATCCTAAGCCGCATCATCCTGGAGAGAATCAAACAAGCCAACCTGGATGAAAAACTTCTACCGGAACAGGCTGGATTCAGGAAAAACAAGTCATGCATTGATCAGATCGCCACATTACGGATCATCATTGAACAAAGCCTGGAATGGCAGTCACCTCTCTATAGCAACTTCATCGACTTTGAAAAGGCCTTTGACAGCGTCGATCGAGAGGTGCTTTGGAAACTACTTCGCTACTACCAAGGGGTGATACCGACAATTATACATCTCATCCAGTGGACAGTCAACCCGGTGAAGAGCGCCGGTTCGACCCCTGGCCGATGCACTCCTTAACCTCGATAAGCAGGTGATAATCCCGGTAAAAGGGGGGACGTTGGGTGTGTGTGTATGTTTGTGGCTAGCAACCACACCCCATTACAATAAAAACCACTGCTACTGAAACTTCAACATACTGTCTTGAAGCCCAATGTCCCATTCGGAATGTATCGTTTGTTGGCAGAAGTTAGAATTCATGGGCCATTGGATCGGGTCCCAGTGGCTCAAGCTCGCCTTGTAACCAGAAGGTCCTGGGTTTGAACCCAGGTGGATGCGTATTACTGAAGTGTCCCAAACCAGAACGAAACAGCTATCCAGTACTCCCAG